ACGGTGGGAGTGGACTTGAATCGGGACACACCCCTGCATCTCTGACCCAGGGCCCCCATCTTCAGGTATCGCATTGCTCCCCCCCCGACCCGGCTCGGGCACTGCCCCGCCCCCCCGCCCCCCGCCAGCTCTGATCTTTGGGACTGGCCAAGGTGCCGTGCGCAGATGCAGTGGACGGTGGGAGTGGACTTGAATCGGGACACACCCCTGCAGCTCTGACCCAGGACCCCCATCTTCAGGTATCGCATTGTTCCCCCGCCGACCTGGCTCACGCGCCCCCCCCCACCAGCTCTGAAATTTGGGACTGGCCAAGGTGCCGTGCGCAGATGCAGTGGACAGTGGGAGTGGACTTGAATCGGGACACACCCCTGCAGCTCTGACCCAGGACCCCCATCTTCAGGTATGGTATTGCTCCCCTCGGACCCGGCTTACGAGCCCCCTCCCCCCCACCAGCTCTGAACTTTGGGACTGGCCAAGGTGCCGTGCGCAGACGCAGTGGACGGTGGGAGTGGACTTGAATCGGGACACACCCCTGCAGCTCTGACCCAGGACCCCATCTTCAGGTATCGCATTGCTCCCCCCCAACCCGGCTCACGCGCCACCACCACCAGCTCTGAACTTTGGGGCCCTTGGGCCTTCAGCCCTCGGGCCAGGACTTAAAGAAAAACAAAAACAAAACAAAAAAACACACAAAAGAACAAAAAATACAAACCAAATTCATAGCATATTTCAACAGCACTTGAAAAAGTTGTCCAATATTGAAGATTTAGTTTCTTTAGACTACAAACTGCTGTTTGGTCCTACCACATTGGTCCCATCAATCTAAGGAAAAGGAAGGTACTGGACATCTTTATAGAGAAGTAGTGACATCAAACCAAGAACCAACTAACACCTTCGCTTTCAACAACTCTTCCACTTCAATGTCTCGAAAGGAGCAGGGTACCTCACTCACCACGCAAGCACAAAACAAGATATCACTCCCCAAAAATGACACAGTAGCAATGGATTTCATGAAGCCAGAAAGATTGATGGAACTTTCTGATGCAGAATTTACCAAAAAGATGATTG